AAATAGGAAACAGCAGGGACCTTATCTTATTAAAAGTTAATTTTTCTGCATAACATTCATAATTGCCTAGTGCTTTAAAGGGGCAAAAAGCTAGATTATTCATCAGAGAAGGATGATAGATAGATAGATAGATAGATAGATAGATAGATAGATAGATAGATAGATAGACGATAGATGTTGACCAAGGTTGGTTTTTCTCCAATGTAGCTTTCTGTTCATTGTTTATTATAATACATTTTTAATTTAGAAATTCATAAACTTGAAAATGAAGACTCCTGATTAGCCTAGACTGAACTCAATGAAAATCATCCAATATGAGATCTGTTATTTCCACTATTTCCACTCAGTCTTGGTCCATAACTAAGTCACCCAAGACCTCATGAGGTTCCAATGCCACCCAGTCTAGTCAGGGGTGTTTGACATTTTAGGGTTCATCATAATTATATCAACTCATTTTGTGAGAGAAACATCCTTTCAGATTCTTATATTTAGTTCTGTGGGTCTCAGTCTTGGCTGCACATCATAATTACTCAAAAAGCTTTATAAATCCTGATGCTCAGGCTTTTTCCCAGAGCAATTACATCAGAATCATCAAGCATGGTACCCAACTATTTGTAATGTTTAAAGCTCCCCAGATGATTGCAACGTGCAGTGAAATTTGAAACTGCTGATCTGTAGATAATATTTTTGATCATCCTGTATTCTTTCTAGTACATAATTACGCCGTCCAATACCCAAGATACCTCCTGGGAGCTATGGAGGACAATGATGACTGTCCCACATTTTTGATGAAGCATACAACTTCACTTGGGGCCGTGCTCTGTAAAATTTCCCCCTTTTCATTGAACTTCATGTTCTTTTTTTTTGTATAGAGACAAAGGCACAAAGCCTATGGGGCACTGAGTCAGAAGAGCTGTCCAAAGAAAGAAGATATGGAACCCAGTGTGACTGACACCCAAGGCTGTGATGCCCAGTGTGCCAGGGATAGTTAAGGGGTGGTCCCTGGGCCAGCAGCAGCAGCAGCACCTTGGAACTTAAATGTACATTCTAAGCTCAAGTAAGAGATTCAGAGACACAGTAGCTATGGAGAAACATCAGGCTTCATGATTCTCCACCACTACCTTGTCTCTAGATAAGCTCTCCAATGTTGGAAACTTAGCTCAATGTGCAACAAGAGCAACAGCAACCTGTAGGTGATACAAGGAATAAGATGGATGAGGGGAGGTGAAATCTGCTGTCACCCTTCTTCCCTTTCTCCCCTTTCCTATCTGTATTATGACGTATTGAAGATCAGAAGGAATTAGTCAATGGGCAACTCTGGTGAGTTTTATTTGCATGTGTCTAGAAAGTTGGGTTGCTTATGATTCTTTTAATCACAATACAAAGAGTTTGACATGGCTTCTTTAAGAATGAGTATATCAGCTGTTTCTATGGAAATAGTACTTTGCTTTCCAGTGTTCTAAAAAATTGGCCTTCACAACCAAGAGCAGTTGGTTTGATGGAAGCCATCTTAGTAAAACATGAATGTGGATGACCTGCTTTGGTGTGTCACTGCTGTGTTTTAGGGCACGTTTGTTAGTGCTGCATGTCTGACTAGGGTAACTTAAAAATCAAAAGGTCATTGTAATTTGACATTTATTACCAATTTTTGTGCAAGTTAAATTCTTTGTTTTTAAGAAGTATGTAAAATGTGCTTTAGACACATTCAGGTCTGATGGAAATTTATCTCAGGGAGTGTTATTGTATGGGGGAGAAAAATAGAATTGGAAGAGAGAATAGGAATATATAGAAAGAAGAAGACTGGGATATATCTGAAAGTACCAGAGACAAGCCTTAGTTGCAATAACTAGTATATGTCTGAGTCAAGCAGAAAAGGTCAGATAAGTTGATATTAGGGAATGAACCCCAAGATAAGTATTCAAATGTTTTTTTTTCTTTCATGCAATGGTTTCTAACATATTTACAAGATGATTTCTATGTTGCTTTGTATGTCCCTCCCCCAGGATATAACCCCTGCTTTCACTGTATTTGATGTTGGTATAATTTTGTGGAAGGGAAGGGAAAAAACAGATAGTTTAACTAGGGATACAGGTGGACCCTTTGCAACAATGGGATGTACAAATCGTTATGTCAAAAAACGAACTTTACAACTTTGGTGGAGGGGGGAGGTTTGGGTGAGGAGGGGGGACTATGGGAAGGGATGGGAAGGGGAAACAAAGAGGAGGCAACAATGCTTGATAAGAAATGTACTCGTTATCTTGCCCATGTAATTGCAACTCCTCTGTACTGTATTCTCACAATAAAAAAATAAATAGCAAAAAAAAAAGAATTAAATGAAAGAAAGAGATAAGGAGAGTTAAGAAATACAGATAGGGTCAAAGAAGGAAAGGTACAAAAAGGAAGAGGACAGAATGTATAGACAAGGGAAAATAAAATCAAACAATGAATGAAGACTTTGGAGCCTGGTAATTTATTGTAAAGTATCACTTGAATTAGACATGCTACAGAGATGCTACCTCCAAAGGTTAATGATGGCAGTAATCATGATTCCAATTTATAACCAACAGGATGAAATACAGCAAGATCTCAGACAGAGAGACCCACAGTGACAGCAGAGGAATAATAACATAACCACAGGGAGGAACACAGGGATGTTGGAGGTTAAAGTGTAAGAAAGACAAACAACCCTGCTTATGACGTGATCACTGAACTGAAAAGAAGCAGTTAGATGCGCCTCAAATTTTGATGTGAATACTTGCAAATGGTTATTCTGTGACTGGGCCTCTCCTGCCATCTACTTTAGCTAATGTTGGTCTCTTTTTATTTATTTTCTCTTCCCATCATTGCTGCTAAATATTGTCCTTCTGCCAGTGGTCAGTGTACCTATTCCTTTCTGAGGTCGGTAACCTACAATGGAAGAGACAATACTCAATCTCCAAACAAGTTATCAAAGCCTTTTCCTCTTTATGTATTGCTCTTGTTAGGATATGAGGCAACCTTCCCCCCAAGACTCCTGTGTTGAAGGCCTGAGTTCCAGCAAATGACACCAATGAAACATGGTTGGATTGGAAAGTGATCACTTCATCAATGGGCAATCCATTGATAAGCTCATGTCTAATGGACTATTAGAGGGCCGGGCTGGGTTGGAGGAAGTATGTGACTAGCATTATGCCTTGAAAGACAGCATCCTTTCCCTGGCCTCTCTGTGTCCAGTATTGTATAAGGTGAAAATCTTTGCTCAACCATAGTCCTCTGCTATGATGTGCTGCTTCATTCAAAGCCCAGAAGCAATAGTGCCACGTTCTGAAACCTCAAAAACTGGGAAACCAAAAAAATCTTTTCTCCTTCAAGCTGTTCTTCCCAGGTATTTTTTCCAGTGGTAGAGAAAGCTAACTAATACATGCAAATATTATAGATCAATATATCAATTTATATAATATATAATCATCTTGGTCAGTCCGTATCAAGATTCTTTTATTCCTTGATGGAACTGGGGTTTGAATTTAGGGGCTTGCATTTCTTAGGTAGGTGTTCTACCACTTGAACCATGCCAGGTTTCTTCAAGATTCCTTTTAAGGAGTTCCAGTGCTCAAGTATGTGATGAGCTACCATCTCCACTGTAATTTACCCTGTCCTAGTGAGCCGACACAGAGCCTGAGCATCTGCCTGAAGTTGGAGAATGATATGAGGAAGCTATTTTACATAACAGGGGAAAAAGTTTAAAAGATCCACAGCAGCAAGAAGCTGAAGACAAGACACAGGATGAAGACAGATGACATGCAGTTAGGGAGATAATGGAAGACTGTGTATAATGTGAACCATGAAGGCCTAGAAAATATTCTGACAAAACAGGTGGTATGGCAAGTTCTCCAGATAAACCTTTGTTATAGAGATCAAAGATGATTCAAAGCTTCCATCAGGTACGTACTAACCAAGGCTAGACAAAGGCAGCAGTTGAGGGGCAGACTTGCAGAAGGTTTTGGACACGATGCATTTTGGTATGACATGGCATTTGGGGTGAATTTTGGGAAGGGTCAAAGCAATGCAGTTTGGATTTCCAGAATCATCTGTCAATACCAATTTTGTTTACATACACACACACATATATACACACTATACATAACCATATATATGGTTCCTATGCAATTTGATACAAAAATATTTGAAATTGTTTTGATTTTTTTAAACAGAGTCTTTCAGTATTCCTGCCTCTCCTTCCCAAGTTCAGGGATGACAAGGGATAAGCTACCTTGCCTGGCAACATTTAATACCTTTAAGTAAAGGTTATCTTCAGATAGATTCATAATAAGAATTCATAGTAGGACTTTCATAGTAAGACTTCAGATCATAAGCTCTTTGATCTGGATCTTCGCCAGTGTTTGAAAACTGTATCTAGCTGTATATAAAGCATATACCTGTTATTCAGAAAACATAGGTGGTTAATAAATTGTTGAGACCCCTTCTTTGACTCCCATTCCCATGTATGCACAGGCTCTCAATTCTCTTGAACACCATCCATCTAGGAAAGAGGCCACGTGCATACTGAGACAAGGAGAACCAGACTCTGTGACTATCTACAAATCTCTGTGATTTCCACCTTTGGCAGCGTGGTCCTCTACTAACAATAAAGAGTATAACAAAATGTATCCAGTGCTAGAAATGGAGTTGTTCGATGAAGCATCAACTGATAGTTGAGAAATGAAGAGATATTTGAAATGATGTCATTACAGCTGAGGAAGACAATATTGTTAACTTAAACCAAGTCAACCTTTCTTTGTAAGCACCCATCTTGGTGCCATGGCAACTTCCCTGGACTAGTATCTCACATCTAAGCGAATCAAACTCTCCGTGGAAAATGACTTTTCACCTCAGGAAGGATCTGTGAACAATGCAAGAAGGGTAAAGCTCTTGCGAGATAATGTGCTTCCCTCTATCCCAGTCATTTCTCCATGCTCCTCTGAGAACGGGGTGAAAGGGAGATCAACATAGAGAATGCTCACGTTCTTAAATCCTCTGTAAAGAATCTGCAGCTCCTTCTTGGTGAATTTGCTCTGGGCTTCCAGCAGCTCCAGGGCCTCAGGCCGATGCCTGACTGTGGCCATCTCCAGTTCATCTTCCACACTATCTGTGGAGGAAAATCAGAAAGACTCTTTAGGCCGGCTGATGCTAACCACCTCTCATAATAAGCAATCCAAGAAAATGAGACAAAATGGTTGCTTGTTAGATATCTGAAATTCATGCCCAGAGGAAGGGTCCTATACTACCAATAATCACCTTTCCACTTCTCAGTGTTAGGCTGAGACACCTCTCTATGAATGATTATGTTTTTGCACATTTTGGTTATCATATACAACTGAAGTTTTAATATTCACATTCATTTATGGTTATATTTTAACAGTTTGCAAAGTAAAATAAATCCAGCATTCCAATCTGAAAGTTGCACACCGACACCAAGAACTAGTTATCTAATTGGAATTGTTTTTAAACAGTCAGCATCTTCATCTTTTTTTTTTTAAATTGTGCAACTATGAGAATCCTATCTGCTCTTTCCCGTGGGGCTTTGAACAACCTGTTCAGATCAGGGGTTGACCAGGATGAAGTGGGCAGCTTTCCTGTCACTCTTCCAGCAGCTCAGGTTTGTGGATGCACACCCTATTGGCACTGGGGTCAATTGTGTAGCTCACAGAGTTTGTAATTATAGACAGGAGTATCACTCTGAAGTGGACCCATACTCTACAATTTCTCAGATTCTGTGCAAAAAGACTTCTGTGCTAACCTGTTGGAGAACTTCTGTAAACTTTGGGGATGAAATATTGGGATATATTGTTTTTGAGAAGATGTGTCACAAATGATTTGGTTAAACTTTGCTATTCCTAATTAGCCACCAAATTATTTGTCCACACAACCTTTTTGACCCCCAAACCACATTGATATTATCTTTACAGTTGCCTTACAGCCTGATAAATGTAAGGATCTAGATGTGGTGTCTCAATCACAGCACCCTTCCGTACATCTTTGGGTGAAATAGATTCCTAAATAAATACTCCCTATTGTAATGCAGTCCCTACTTCATAGAAAGAATTCATATGGACCTATGGCATTTCCCCATTAAATTCCTTCACCTTGACCACAAATGCCAGACTCAGAGCAGTAAGGCTAAGGAGAAGAGTCACCTCTCAGCTTCTCTATCCCAGGACCTGCAATTCCAATTCTGTGTCAATGGGTCAGTGAGAAATGCAGTCATTTCTCTGACCATTGTACCATTTTTGACACCCACAATGCTGCATTTTGCAGATATGTGTATGCGCTTACTCTCTACCTCATTAAGGCCATCAAGGGGTCAAACTTCTCCCTAAACAGGAAGTAGAATTCTAGTCAAAGCAACTCTAACCAAGGCATATCCAACCCACTAAGCTCAAGGACATTATAGAAGACCAACAACGATGAAACAAACACATGGAATGGTTGTATATGTCTAACCATTAACAGAAGTCAAGAGCAAATATGTAGTCATTAATTTTCATACTCTAATAGTTTTTTTGGAAACAGTGACATAGAAAAGCTTCAGAATATGAATGGATGGCTACAAATACTAGAAAATATTATAAAAGAGAGGGAAGCCATTAATACATTTAGAATTGATAAGGGTAAAGCTAATGAGAATATGAGTCGGATGTTTACCTCAAGTGCTAGAAAGAGCTCAAAGTTCCCAGAAAAGACACTGGAACATTAACATTGGTTTCAGGCTGTGCATTATAGGAAAATATCAAATAAGCAGAAATAGGACTGTGTCAATTTTCTCTTTCATTCATTTGAACAAATAGAACTATTGTACTCAATGACCTTGAAGGAAAGTGTTACTATGATTGCTATTGAGCCAATGACTTGACCTGAGGTGTATTATTGTACTTTTCCTGATAGAAGAGAAGAGGCATACAGGAGATCTGATGAACATAGGTAATAACAAATAGAAAGTTTCTACTTGATACCCTGTAGTTACAAATTATTTGGTGAATAAAAGAATGAATGTATAAAAGAAAAAAGAAATGATATTGTTGTTCAAGTTTTCACTCCTCTAGAGTCTCTCAAACCTCTGTTTCTTTGAGACATATTTTTCAACTTAGGTTTGTGAGCTGATAGTGGGCCTTAAATGTCTTCAGTTAGAATCGCTGGTCTCTGTTCATTTCTCCTGGAAGCAGAGTATAAGCAAAAGGAGAGGAGATTTTAATCAGATTTTCTTGCAGCCTTTCAATCACAGCGTGACCCTGTCTAGCCCTCCTGACTCCTCCACTAGTGAGAAACAAAACAGCACATTAACCTCTCAGCCTCTCCACCCTGCTGTCTGAGCCACACTACTAACTGTGTCTTCTTGAATTGTCACAGACTTGTAGATTCTACACAGAGAGAAAAAGCCCAAGGCTAGAGGGTCAGTAGAACTGAATTAAGTGTGTGTGTGTGTGTGTGTGTGTGTGTGTGTGTGTGTGTGATTGGATGATGGTCACATGAAATATTCAAAAGGAGCCACACTCCAAGAGTCTGCCTTTGGGCTCTCATGTTTTCCTGGCTGACTGCTACCTTTCTTCTTAATGACTTTTACCTGCCAAAGGGCTGTTCCTATTTTTAGGAGGCTGACAGGCTCTAAAAACATACCTGAAATCATTATCAAATGCCAGGAGATGAGAAGCTGCAAAAGCAACACCACAGGATGTAATCAGCTCTGGTTCCTGGAGGAGAATTCTGTGGGAAGTGCAGCATGACTCTACACAAGACCCAGAGTCACCTTGTGCCTCAGCCACCACCGAGAGCACATAATTGTGAGCCCTTCTGCATGGAGCCTCACCTGTATTGAGTCCTTCCTAGGCCAGGATGCAGATGAGGCACCTGTTGAACTTTGTCTTCACAATAACCTCCACAATGAGTGTGTGTGTGTGTGTGTGTGTGTGTGTGTGTGTGTGTGTGCAGATTGTTAATAAAAACACTACCTTGCAGGGAATTTTGCTCTCCACCTAGGAGAGTATTATTTTAATACTAATAAATTCCGTGAGATACTTTGTTTCTCTTATTTTTTACAAGGAATAAATAGAGTAGGTTAAATAAGCTAAGCAAGGTGAGGTCTGAGCTGGAACTTGACCTCTGGCTTTGTGACACTAATGATCATTGGTTTCAGGAATATGTAACTTAAATTATACAACATTTGTACATGTGCATACATATACATATATGATGGGTATATGTATATATGAGTATCTGTCCATTCATATTTTTGTAAATAACACACACATATGGTATTAGGTTTGAATTCAAGACCTCTCACACTTTCTAGGACAGTGCACTCCATACCTCAGCCCCTTTTGCTTTTTTTATTTTTTGGGTAGGGTCTCCTGCTTTTTCCATAAGGCTGGCTTAGGACTTTGATCCTCCTATCTATAACTGCCTTCCATGTATCTGGGAACACACAAGTATACGACAAAGCCCAGATTATTAACTGAAATCAGGTCAAGTTAACTTTTGGCCCAGGTTGGCCTCAAACTCTGATCATTCTAATTTTAGCCTCTTGAGGAACTGGGATTCCAGGAGTAATACACTCTTTTAAGAAATGAGAGTTGTTATATGTTTAGATTCAAAATCCTAGGGGATAAATGGCCACTTAACTTCCAGTTCCTCCATTTCTCTCTGTCAAGTAACCTTAAGGTTCATCAAAGGCATGATCAGCTCAATAGATAACTTCACAGCCGAAGAATATAAGTATTTGCAGGGCAGATTGAATCTCACAGCTCGCAATGTCACAGAGGGCTTTTATATTTCCACATTATATCAGGAGAACTATAGATCCAGGGTGGCTGAGTAGTTTATCTGGTACAAAAGCTGAAAGCAGATCTCTGGCCTCCTGAAGAACTCCAGGCTTTGCCAGAGCATGGTGTGAATTCAATGTTAAATTTGCATTCCAAGACAAGGCCAATACAAATAGCATTTTAATTCATGTGGCTTCTAATAGATTTGATTTTAATCAGACAATGAATTACCAAACCCAGATATCCTTGAACTTCGTAGTAGTCTCTTCTTGTTCTTTGTTCTTCAAATTTAAGTCTCTCAGAGCTCAGGTTGTCCTATGTCTGAGTCAACAGCCCCCTTAGGTCATGACACAATTGGGCTAGAAATTGGGATTCAAATCTCCAGGGAACCACAGAATGAGACTTTTTAAAAATAGGCATTATTCTCCTCTTTCCTCACAACTCCCCCTAAAATACAGTAAAAACTTATTGCAGCCTAACTCATAATTATGCAAATTTGACTCTATCTAAGGTCAAACCATACTCCTCCAGATATAACTACAGAAGATTTTGCTTTATAATACTAAGTGTGGGTACTGACTTCTAAATCCACGAATGTGTAAGCAGGAATTGAAATTCAGAATACCAAACAACTTTATAGAGGAAGTCAGTTTAGAACGCAAACCAGCCATACAGTGTAAGTCCCTTTCTGGGATGCTATAGCCTTTTTTCTAGCAACCTGGCCCAGAAGCATCTAATTAGACATACTAATGGTACTCAATCAAAAGTTGTCAAATAAATGAGTCACTATTTGGAGCATTCCAATGACAGCATATATATGCACAGGATTTCTGATTTCTAACTAAAACATGACTGTTCTTTAAAAATGTGTTTATTCTTCATTCTGAAACAACATCAACAACAAAAATCAAGCTGGGCATAAGCTAGCCTCAGGCTTGTAATCCTAGCTACTCAGGAGGCTGAGATCTGAGGATTGTAGTTCAAAGCCAGCCCAGGCAGAAAAGTGCATGAGACTCTTATCTGCAATTAGCCACCAGAAAACTGGAAATGGCATTGTGGCTCAAAGTGGTAGAGCACTAGCTTTCAGCCAAAGAGCTCAAGGGCAGAGCCCAGACCCTGAGTTCAAACCCATGACCAATTAAAAACAAACATAAATACTATAACTTTAACCCTTTATCTGAGCTGAAGTTGATTTGGTTTTCCAAGGCCTCAGCCTCCGTGGCTTGTGTTGCTTGATCTCATTTATAGTAATAACCCTCTGAGTGTTTGCTCCTCATGGTTACCTCTGATTGAATCAGCCCAGCAATGGCATGGCAATATCATCATGATTTGG